GGAGGAGGAGGAGGAGGAGGAGGAGGAGGAGGAGGAGCCGCCATTGTGAAAGAAAATAACTCATTCAAGGGTTGTAGCAGGGGCAGTACTTTGGGTTTTTCAGGACTCTTAGAAGTCCACACTGAGTTACTGGAGTTACAACTACTCTTTTTTCACTTCTGTATTTTTTTTCTTTCAGATGATGATGAGGACCTGAATGAGGACACTGTAGAAAAAATAGTGAAATGTATCATTCAAAATGAAGGTAAGCGTAACCTTGGTTTAATTAAGTAAAACCCCAGCACTTGGGGCCTTGTTTTGACACATTTCTACTTTCTTCCCTTTGTTAGCAAATGTTGAAGTTCTAAAAGAAATGCTGGGGGAAGGTGATGCTGATCTCCCACTGCCAGTGCCTGTGCCCAGGTGAGGAGAGCATACAGGTTCACCTTGGTATCAATCATGTCTTGGGAATCTCTGATCATGTTTTCCTTCTTCCTTCTCTCAGTCATGCTCAGGGCTAAACTACATGATTATAATAGTGTATGTGTAAGTGTACACACATTATGCATGTATTTATATATATGTGCATGCACACACACACATTATACACACACACATATACATACCACCTTGTCATTCTTCTCCAACCTAACTTAAGTGTGATGGAGATTACTGGCCATAGGAGGGGAAGTTTAAAACCTCTCTCCCCAACCACCTGCCTTGTAATCCCCCACCATGCTACTGGTGCTAATTGAGGATTTTCTTCCTGATTGTTTCAAATCCCAGGGGCAGGGAAAGGAAGTGGTTGGGGAAGAAATATTGAAGTGGTTTCCCCCAGGATGAGGTCCACTAGCATGGAGAAGAATGGTAAAAACAGCTGCATATTGAATGCATGTGTGCAGTTTACTGTTTGAATGACTAGGCTAGACATCAGTGTCAGTCAGAAGGAACTAAACATATTGCAGCCCATCTTTTTGTGGTAGAATAAAAAGCCAGAACAGAAGGTCAGGCCCTAGTTAATTGGCTTCCTTAGCATTTTTATCTTGATTCAGGATGTTTTTGCCTGAAGCTTCCCTCTCCAAATCTGTATGGCAACTGTGTGATGTTCTTTACAACTCCTATTTATTTCATTTGGACTTCAGAAGATGTACTTCTCAGCAAATAGAGTTTAATGGGTTATATGTTACTATGTCATCCTTCATGAGTTTGAAAATGGTCTATGTGGAGGTCTGATTTTGCCTTCCAATGCAGATTTCTCTATGTAGGCTCTGTGTTATATGGGCTGATCAGCTTTTGCTTTTAGAATTCCATGTAAATAGCTGCTTGTCTTTAAATCTAGTGCCCAAGCTGATTGACTTTCTCTTTCCTTTTCTCCAGTGCTCTGTGTCCACATCGCAGCAGCCAAGATGGTGGCATTCCTCATCACCATACAGTGCACTTAGGCTCAACACAAACACCTTGCATTCATTGCAGCAAGAAAAAGAGACCTCCCATACTTCGTCAGGGCCGATCAAAAGAGAGTAAAACCAAGATGCATCCTGGGGAAACAACAGTCTTTTCAGTTGGCAGGTAGGTGTTAGTGTGCTTTATATAAAAGTGTTTTGGACTAATGCATAATAAGTATGTAATGAAATACAACCAGAGTAATAGCAACAATCAGATTCTAAGGCATAAGTGAGCCAGTTTGGTGTAGTGGTTAAGGCATCAGGCTAGAAACCAGGAGACCGTGAGTTCTAGTTCCTCCTTAGGCACAAAGCCAGCTGGGTGACCTTGGGCCAGTCACTCTCTCTCTCAGCCCTAGGAAGGAGGCAAGGGCAAACCACATCTGAAAAACCTTGCCAAGAAAACTGCAGAGACTTGTCCAGGCAGTCACCAGGAGTCAAGACTCACAAGAAGAGGAAGAAGAGGAAGGAGGAGAAGAAGAAGATGGAGGTGGCGGTGGGGTAAAAAGCAGCAACAACATTTAAAATCATAGAACATTTCCAATTTATCCAAATGTACATGGGAATCCTTTGTCCACATGAAACCAGCAGTTAAAAAAAAATAGCTGTTCTGCAATGAACCAGAAGCCTTTAACATGGACATGGGCCCTTGAAGTCAGTGCAGTGACTTATAAATAGAACATCTCACAGCACTATATGCACGTGGATATATCATTGTTATTGGTGAACAATGTATTTGAGTGGTACCTGCCATGGTATCCCTCATAAAAAATGTTACAGGGTTATCTGCTTTAGTGTTTGCTTACCTCATACCTTTTTAATTGGTCACATTTACAAGCTTTATAAAAAATCAACACCATAGAAAATCAACACAGCCAAATTATTTATTGCATTTATTATTTAAATTAACTACATTTATTATTTGAATTGTCAGTTGTAATAAGTAAAGAGAAATAAATAAAAAAAGATGCATTTTTTCACCAAATGAGCACACCAGGAATCAGATCCAATACTCCAGCTAAAACATCACCACATGAATAACTTAAATCTGAATATCAGTTCCTAGAAGATTTGAAATAATTTCTGTAACTTTTCTCATTGTTACTGATACTTTTAAAAATCTCCCAGAATGGGAACAATCCTTGATGCTTCCTGACAGGTCAAGGATAAAAAATATAGGATTCTTTCAATCTTAGATACGTTGATATAAAAAATGCAGGAAGACTATTGGAATGCAAATTACATTATATCTACAATTAATCTGAGCAGGGACAGAATTCTTAATTTGAAATAATAAAGTATATAGAGACACTATTTTACTTCTGGGTTTCACAAGCATATTCAGACACAGGGCATTTCCACTTAAGAGTTCTGTGCCGCTGCGAAAACAAATCTAGATCTTTGTAACTAGCTAATAGCTGTATCTGAGAGACGAGCCTATTTATCTGTAGCTCCACCATGTACATTTGAAACTGCAGTATAACTATCCTTACTTCTTTCTTTTTTTAAGCATTGTAGGCGTACATTTCCCCCTTAACCAAATTGATGCAGGTTCTTACTGAATAATGCTGAGTGATTTGCCTTTTTTTTTTGTCCTAGATTTCGTGTCACCCATATTGAAAAAAAATCTGCTTCCCATGAATCCCAGGAAGAGGCTTTTCCTGAGGACAAGCTGGACTTTGATTTAGCTAATACAGACCAGGAGATCTACAGCAATGAGAAACTGCAGTGGGCTGGATCACAGAATGGAATCGTTCATACAAATGGAGTACAGCAAAGAAAATTAGCTCAGGCAGATTCTCAAAGACCGCCAAAGGAAACTACTGCAGATGAGTTGACTCAGTCAGAGACTCATTTAAATGTAACAGCCAATACAGATATAACCATAAATGAAACAGACGGAGGATACCCTAAGGCATGCTCTTCACAAGAAGCAGTAAACTCTGCCATAAGTTATGTAACTGAGACTAACTGCACTTCAGGACCCAAAGACCTTTCATCAGAAGAGCTAGAGGAGATGGAGCGGCTGGATAAAAAAGCTGAACAGATGGGCCATCCAGGAGCAGCTTATGAAGTATCAAAACAACAAGGTCAAGTTCTTTCAATAGGACCCAGACAGGAAATGCGGCCAGTAGAACAAGTGGCATAAAACATCAGGTAGTTACTTCAAATTTCTTTCTTGCTTTCTCCTATGTACACCTAGTATTTTCTGAATTTTTGTTCTTTCAGAATATAAAGCTGTTACAAAAATGTGAATCAAATGTTGATCCACGCAACAGCTCTAAACTGATGCAGTATGCTGAGGCCACTGAAGGAGCTGGGAATGTGCTGCATGAATTCCTTTGTGATAATGGTGAAATAAGGGCAATATCTTTAGGGCAACTGAAATGCCACATAAGTATTTAAGATTTTAAGAATTGTAGAACTCTAAATACACATGGCATACACATTTTTCTGCTGACTACTGGGTTGGTGTAATGATAGTACTTTCCTGATATGGTACTCCCTTTGTTGACTTGCGGTTAATGATCATTAATGCAATAATTAACCATCAATTGTGTGTATGTGTGTACATACATTTCTACAAGTGGGAATCTAAACAACAAAGATTCGGGGACACCTTGAAACCAAACACTTGATTATTTTCCATTTTATATGCTGCCAGATCTTCATGATTCATGATGATTTGCAACATACTAAAATGCATGAAAATATCCAAAGTGTAATATCACATTAGAACATAAGATTTCATAATAATAATAATTGTAGTACCTGATAATAAAAAAAATAGACCTCCAAGTAATGATAGTCACAATCATCCCCAAAGACTCTCCAGAGAATCTTGATCTTTAAAGGCTTCTGGAAGGCTTTTAGGAAGCTAGCCTAATTTCTAGAGGTGCCATATCAGAAAAGCAGCACCTTCTAGTCTTAGCACTCCACATTTCAGAGAAGTGGATTATCATAAGCAGCTTCTGCCTGGAGGATTTCCTTGGTCATGTCAGATCCAGTTGGAGAGCTCATTACAGTAATATGGACTACAATTCACCATCAGTTGCATCAGATATTATCCTGAGCTAAGAACTACATCCATAGTATAATTGGCCATTCACAAAACAGTTGATTGCAATACGAACTTTATTGCATTAATGAGCTAACTCATATAATGTTATAATAATCTTCTGTCTCTTTTTAATGCACAGATAATACAGTTGATTATCTTTTTTTAAATCCTTCACAATGATATTGATACTTGTAATTCATTTGCTCAAGAGTAGGGACTTTGAGGCAAATCAAGGTTTATCTTGGGGTTTGACCTGTTCTCTATTAGTTTGGAGATACTTCCAGTTGTCAGCTTTGTGTCCATTTATTATTTTGCATATTTTGCAAGGGTTGACCATTTTTTTTCAGGCTGGTGGGCAGATTTGGAAATTTGAGGATAGACTGTGGACTTTCTCATAAAATGACTTTCACAGAGAGAGGGAATCTCAGATTCATAAAATGGCATGGTTGGCTTGGTCAGTCACAAAACATCTATTCAGAGGAAAAGTGGCAAAGTTATTCTCTGCTACTCCCTGTATACATACTGCTTTGTCTTTTTTTTCCCCTGGACTGTAGACCCCTCTTCCATACAAAATTTGGGGCTGCACCTACTCACTGCCTTTTTATAAGAATGTCTACTGGCCTATCTAAAGTTCAGAGGAAATCTTTAAAAACAAAACTGCTGGACAGTGGCAGTTGGATTTACACAAGTTAGGATCCATTTAGCTAATTCAAAAGAATAAAAATGTAAATTGAGCCTGGAACCTGGTGCACCAAAGGTGTTTGTCCAGGTACCACACTGGCTACCACTGCTGACTTATTCTACATACAGTAATGCGGGGCTGAATCGGGAGTCTGTCCTTCAGTGAAATCATTATTCCTTGCAAAAGTGGCAGTTTTGTAGGAAATAAACCTGTAAAGAATGTAGGCAAGAGAAGAGAGATTATCTTACTTTGTTGGTGGTCAACAGTACCTTTTCTCTTTATTTATTTTTTTAAAGGCCCACACATTCTCATAGCAGTGTCAACTTAAAATTATCACCTGGCCATTATAAATATAGAAAATAAATAAATAAAGAACTATCATCCACTAAGAAATTAAGGTGCATTCCTCTTCTCACTCAGATTCTAAATAGAAGTGTCCAACTTTCTGCATGGTCAGTTTAAAGTTGTCCTTCCTCTTCACAAATGAGAGAAAATTTGAAATGGAGTGATAATTCAGCACAACACTACTATAGAATTTAGTGAGACGTTGCTGAGAAATGATGGCATTCATCATATTGGAAAACGAACAGTTTATAAACGTCTGATGCTTTGGATGACACTTTGTTTCAGCAATGGTGTTGTCACAGTGGGTATGTGGAAATACTAAATAAGGGGTTGGACCCTAGATCTGCTGCAGGGTTAGGCTCCTATATTTGTGTCATTGTGTTATTTTTTGGCTAACAGTTGCTTAAGGGTGGTGGCTGTCAGTCAGTCAGTATAGACCTACCACCCAAAAATTGTGAGAGGGACATGTCAATGGAACAGTGGTGACATTTGATTGCTCTCTTATTGAGATGGCAGAAGGAAGTCTCTTGGAAAAAATGCAGGTCTGTCAGGGATGGATGACCAGCTGATAAGAATCAGCACTGCAGTCTAAGCAAAGAGAGAATGCAAAAATAAAATTGCGGCATATCTTTTATATAGGTTGACTGAAATAATGAAGAAAAGGGGGTAGACTTTATCCCTTCTTTTCTGCCTTCTTGATATCAGATGAGTTACTGCTTGTAATCTGGAATGGATGTGGGAAAATTAGCTTGGTAAAGGAGAGTAGTAATACCCATGAGAGAGGAATGAAAGATGCATTCAAAAATCATTGCAAAGATAGGCATCACAGCTCTGAGAAAAGATTAAAGGGTAGTGCTGGGAGCAGCAGGAAATACAGGCACTTCTTGGTAGAGCTCTTTTAAGTATCAAACAAAAATCATTGTACTGCCTTAAAGTAGAAAACAATTAGAAAGTTATAAGGCAAAGTAATGACATGAAAAAGCCATGGTTGGAGGCACTCTGTATTTCTCATCTGTTTGAGTATCTATAGACTAGGGTTTTACTGTGCAATTGCTCTACTTTTCACTAGTAGAATTTTACTAGAGGTCCAGATAAAGTTGCCTTCTGCTAAAGTTGTCTAACCGCTTCCCTGCATTCATCTACCACTTATTTCAATGTTTCTTCAAAGAAACCCCATTAAGTATGAAAAGGTGAAAATGACTCTGGCAAAACTGGGGTTTATTTGGACAAAAGTGGCATTTGCTCCAAGTTGTTTTGGGGATAAACAACTTTTAAGATCCTGATCCTGCTGCTACCACCCTAATGTGATAGAATTCATATTTCTCTGAATATGAAAATATGAAACTGATTTTTCTCCTAGGAGTTTAGTATCTTAGATGTGTTGGGTTCATGGGGTTATTACACTGTGTCCTCATTCACTCCTCAAGTCAAGGGCATAAATATGGTGGAATGGGCCTGGTCAAAGAAAGCAAGATGACTCCCTCATATAGACTAAGACCAAGAGCATGCACCAAGTGCAGCAATAATAAACAATACATCATGTCGACAAACCAAATCTAAAATTAAAGCAACAGTGGTATGTATCTTAGTCCAAGAAGCAGCTGCTCCCACCCTAAAAGAGGCTGAACCTGAGCAAGTCTGTGGGGTCTGGCTGCTCACTGATGAGCACAGGTAGCAAAGGTCCATGAGTTCAATTCCTGGTTGCAGGTTTGAACCCCATAGAATACAATTGGGCTCCTACTTCTGATGAGTCCCAGATAGGATGAAACCAGTCACGTAGTATCTCCTGGTGGTTTATGTAAGTGAAATCAGGATAACACTGGGTAAGAATTGAGAAATTTCTTTCCCTCCAAAGTGTGTGTGTGTGTGTGTGTGTGTTGTGTGTAGTGTGGAGGCCATGTAAAACCCCCATATGCAGGGGAATGACATAATGTAATCTGACAGTTTAAAGGAAGATAGACTGTATATATCATTCTGTTGAAGGACAGCCATGTACAGGACAGGGTAGATTTATTCAGAGGAGAGGGCAAGAAACAATGGCCTTAAATTACCTGGAAGTAGATTGCAGGTGGACGTCAGGAAAAATTTCTTTGTATTAAAAGTTGCTCAAGAATGGAACAGGCTGCTTTGGGAAGCAGTAGAATCTCTTTCACTGGAGGTCCTGAAACAAAAGTTGGGCGGCCATCTGTTAAGGATGCTCTAGTAGGGGATCCTGCCCTGGGCAAGAGGTTGGACTAGAATGATCTTCAAGGGTCCTTCCAACTCTTTCATACTAAGATTTTGTGATTTTCCCTTTCTGCAGATCTTGCCATTGTTTCCTCTCTGTTACTTATCTTTTCCACGGTTCCAGTCCTTGTTAATAATGGATACAATTATCAATTCTACTGTTTCTCAAATCTATTTGCCATTTGCTTTGCTTCCAGGAAGGACTCAAACTTTTATATTATATAGCAAAACTTGTGATATCCTTACCTACAATAAATGGTGCAAGTGAGTAATATGGTGTGGCGGCTTGGGCCCCACTGATTCCCAGAAAGGGTCTCCAAAGCTTTTTCCCACAATCCTGCTCCACTCTGCTTGCAACTCCTGGGAAGAGCTGAGGGATAGCAGCAGCAGCCAGATCCTCTCTGCCCCTGATTTACTAGGGAGGAGGAAGTGACATCCCTTTTCCTGGCCTGGTAGGAAAGGAAGGACTAAATAGCACAGGCAGAATTTTAGAAGAAAGTTGAAGACAGCGGGAGAGATCAGTTGCTTCTTGGGGCGGTTAACTGCAGTCACCTGTGTCCTCCAGTCCAGCATGCACACACAGGCTGACATTTACAGTTGTCATTCTATGCCAAAGTTCAATTCTTGTTGCTTGTTAAGTACTGTCTAGTACTCACTTTTGATAAGTAAGGTAGTTTTTACTAAATTAGTATTAGTAATATACTTTCCTCTAACATCTGGACCAGTTGTTTATTTTAGAATGGCCTGCTTCATGTAGTTCACTTAACCACAGCATGATGTGCTTTATCATTTTCTGCAAATCAGATGATTATGGCTTGTTCAACAAACCATGGTTAAAATCCTGGGTTAGCAGCATTATGACATCAAGACATTATTTATTCAATTGCCATATTTGTATACTGCTACAATCAAGACATAACTCCTAGCAATTAGAATAATTGTCTTGTTAAGGGATAGTCATTTCAGAAGATGTATTTCCTGTCCTTCAATATAGAATGTATCAAGCAGTCAACAAAATTAACATGCACAGGAGAGGGATTCATATACTGTGGCTCCACTGATTTAAAAGAATTGAATGTCACATTCAGAGAGGTGGTAGTATTATCCAAGCTAGAGGATCCATCAGAGATATAGCAAAGCAGCCTCTTCTTGTCAGCGTAGAAGCACTTTGTAAATTTATTTGATTACTAACTGTAGCAATTCTATAAAAACACCTTGATGTGTTTCAACAGAGTAAATGACTTGTGATGAATGTGCTAGTCAGTATTTTCCATTGAAATGCAGGAGTCATCCTTCTGGAGCAAGCCAAGAGCCATATTGTTGCTCACTGTGGCCTTCTGGGGTGTTCCCAGGGAGGAGGTAGGATCACACCCCTCTCCTGCTATTGTCCCCCTGCAAGTGGTATTTGGAGATGTGTTGCCCCCAGCCTGAAGGCAACATTGAGTCTTCATCCAGTCCTTTTTCAAGCCAACAGAGTTAAGTGATCATCACATTTTTGAGTAAGGAACATCACAGATTAATTGTAAGATGCATGAAGAGCTGCTTTGTTTTATCTGATCCTAGTGTTTTGAAAGAGGAGAAAAACTTTTCCCTGCCCCCTTTCTCCTTGTAATGCATTATTTTATAATGCATTACGCCCACCTGGCTTTTTTTTCCAGGCTAAACAGTCCCAAACATTTTAACCTTTTTTCATAGAAATGGTGTTTAAGTGGCCTGATAATTTTGGTTCCTCTGTTTTGCATTTTTTTCCAGCTTCATTATTTTTTTTTTCAAAGGTGGAACTGAACACATGTGAAGGCATTGCAACGTTTGCACTCTTATTTTCAACCTCTTTTCGAAAAATGTCTAGCATGGAATTGGTCTTTTTTATAGCTGTCACACACTGAAGCAATACCTTCACTGAGCTATCTAATATAACCCTGGATTTTTATTTTTTTTTTGGTTAGGCTCAGACTTCATCTGTTAGGGTTTTGTTAGCTGTTAGAAATTCTCCATGCTCTACTGTAAGGTGAAGAATATAACCCTCCAGTTGCCAGGAGGAAGGGAGGAAAACCTGCGGGATCAGCCGTAACTGCTTTGTAATTGTCATCTGTTTGCCCTGCTCTTGAGTTATAATAAGCCTAAATGCCAGGCATGATGTTTCAGGACTCTGGGTAGCTTCAGCCAAGCTGTGTCTGCTAAAGGAGCCTGACACCATCAGTGTATCTGGGGAGTTAGGGTTTTGGGTCACAAGTACATTACTTTGGAATCAGTTAGAAAGAATATCCAAAACTGTCACTTTTGGTTTTCAATTAGTAAATACTTTTACTAATATACATTCTTTTGATGTCACCTCACACAAAGCCTGTAAAGACAGGTTATTTGAGTCAATGTTATGAAATGTACAATACTACAGGTGCCCCTGTGCATGTAGCTCATTGTGTATCTTCTCTTTCAGTCCTAACTGAAGCTGAAATAAATTAGCATACCTAAATTTGATAGTGAATATTTGCCATTTAATTTTATTTGCCTTTTATGTATCCATTTAACTTCAGCCATTGGACATCAGTTCTTCTGTAAAAGAAAGGAATGGATGAGGTGAGATGAACAATCCCATGGTGCCATTTCACATTTTTAATGGGACAATTATTTTGAAATGTAGGTAACTATACTGCTGTGCAAATCCTTGAAAGCAGCTTTGCAGTAGAAGTACCTCAGATACACTTTTCTTCAAATCATTAAAGCAGCTGTGTCTTTTTTCCAGGCCTTTTCCATGCACACAGTTTGAAGCAGCTTACTATAGGAATAGCAATATCACTTCAATATGTTTTTTGCAGTCATATGCTAAGAGAACCAGCTAAGTCACGGTATATGTGTGTGATTGTTTTTTAGGCTTGTTGTTAAGTCAACAATAAAAAAAGAGCTTTCATTAGCCTTAGGCTCTGTCTTCTATTAATACAAGAGTAGCACATGGTACCAAGATCATGGAGTGGAAGAAGAGGAAGTAGGAGTTGCTGCTGTCACTTCTATATCACCAAAGCAACAAACAAAAGAGAAGAAATGGAGGATCTAACAATTCTTAAAATGCTGCCATTCTCAGTTAATGGTACTGAATCCTGCAGAATTTGGGTACAGGTAGTCCCCAGCCTGGTTTAAGGATGACCCATAGTTAAGAACAGACCCCATTGTAGCAAAATTTGAGTTAAATACACAATGATTCAATGGTTTGAGTTAACTACAAAATATTACTTATACAGTATTATACAATAATACTGTTCCATCTTACTAATTCAACTTAAGGACAGACCTTGGGAATGGAACTTGTTCTTAAACTAAAAACTACCTGTATTATATGCTGGTCACAAGTTATATAGCCAAAGACAACGAAGAGAAAATAGCATTTTTTTTCCTTTTTGGGTAGTATATTTAGTGGCATACAACTTACTCAAGAAGAGGAAAAGAATTATGCGATTGTCTTACAAAAGCTGAGTATACCAAAAACAGTATACATTTGAGAGATGTAAGCTTCACAAAAGAGCTAAACAAGAAGGCAGTTCTTTGAGGAATTCTTCACTGATATAAAGCTGCTAAACCTGGATTATAATTTTGACCAACTCCCTGAATCCTGATTTTAAAAAACAGCAATAGGCTGTCCTAGTCTCAGCAGATCCCAAATGGCAAAAAAGGCTTCTGGAGAATGTTGATTTGCTCTGGGCAAGGCTGCATGGATGTGTAAGGCAGCTGAAGTGACTCTGCAGACTCTTCATGTTATAGAAAGCAAAGCTGAAATTACTACTATAGATTGAACGTACAACAAGCAATTCAATGTATTGAGGTTAAGAAGCAACTGTGCAGACTACAGAATTCTAAGTTGCACAACTAGTGTCCCCCCTCCATCAGACACAGGCTCCTGCACTTGAAAAATAGTGTACTGCATGCAAATACCTGCATCATTTTGTTGTTGTCAGCACTTAGAACAATGCACTTACAAAGGAGTTGCACAAGCCTGGAAAAAGAGACAGCTGCTGTTATGAAATAGTTGCATACTGGAGCCACCTTATCTATGCACTTACATAGATGTTGCCATTGCTGTTGGTCAATATATGGCTGGCCTATGGATGGCCAAAGGACACTAAAAGGTTTGACTAAAAGAGAGATGTGGTAAGATGAATTAAAGATTTATACTAATAATTATGCAAAGACTGGGAGCTCATAATCAAAGCTGAGCTTGGAAATCTGCACATGTGTCTGTTTATTCTCCTCTTTATACTCGGAACAGACCAATTTCAATAAAGATTAAAACAATCCTTTATATTGGCTTACCTTAACCACCTTAATTGTTCCACAAAAACAGAATAAAATAAATTACCTTGAACTGGTTATGCTGCCAAATCTTGTTTTATATTTTTGTTTATATGAGAAACAAAAGCCCTGCCATGTTTAGGACAAGGGCATTAGTGTTCAAGTAAAGCAAACAGGTAAGACAGCAGCTTCAGGTTTGTAGGAAATCCAGAGTAGTACTTTATCCTGCTGGGAATGGATCTGCAATGGGACTCCAATAAAATAGAGTATTTTTGGTACTTACCATCTTTGTTCTTTCAGATCCTACCAGCTCCATGCTCAGGGTTGCCAAGGAGATGCACATGGAACTGACCTCAGGCTTGAAGGGATGAAGTTGCTACATCAAAGCAGACCAGCTCTGGCTGGAAAAGCTACTGTCTACTTGGCGTGGTCAGGCCACCAAAAGGACATGCTACTGTCATCAGTAAGGCTGGCAGGTTCCCTATTCCCATCACAATCATTCTCCATGCAAGAGCAGAACTATAATCAAAGGGACAGGAGCGTGTTGTAAACAAACATTACTGGGAATCCAAGCCTCTGTACCCTTAAAAGCTTTGCTAAAGTCAGTGTTTTACAAATATGTGTCTTTTAGGAGAACAGGATGTATAAGCATGCCTCAACTGATAAGAATTCTACCTTTCAGCATATTGGAGCTCAATATCTGGTACTTGTAACAAGCCCAGACTTGGGTCTCATAGACTGAAATTCTCAGCCATTTACAGCGGAAAGCAGGTAACAAATTATTCTAGTTCATTGTAGCTCAGTGTTGACATTCATCTCCCACACAAATGTTTCCCTAGCAACTCTGGGTGACATAATTCTGAAGTGCCACAGTTTTGCTTCTTTCAGAGGGCAAACTACATCCTCCAGATCCCAAGAGATCTCAGCCATGCAGGGAGAATGAATAGGGAAGAAAGGTTCTGGGTCCTTCACATGTGTAGTGACTCAGATAAGGCAACAGCTAGGCTGTTTAAAGTTGTTTGCATACCTGTGCCCACTCTAGCCATGAAACACAATGACTCTGAGGCTGTATTAAAGTACTTGACTTGTAAGTGCTCAGGAGCAATGGAGTAGTATCCCACATTGCCAAGCAATGAACCAATCTGATATTACTATTTGGGAACTGCATTTTCTCTTACTGAGTGAAGATCTGTCTTGGCACAGGGGAAAGGCACTTTTCCCTCGAATGCAATAATACATTCAAATAGGCACTTTCCTACCTAATGATTCTTTCCAAGGATGCTGTTCTTGTTTCCATAAACCATGTCATTCCAATAAGGAACAGTCAAGCAGCGCCTTGTTTTGAGCTCCTTCCTTGTGGTGCTCAACCCAGAAGGTGTGGACAGGTGCACAGGACAAGTAACTTTGCTCAGCACAAACCTTGGAGGTTCTCATGACAATTCTTGGTAGGCTTCTCTTCCTAAGAATAAATACTTGAACCTGAGTTTTGGGATCAACTAATTAAGAACTCCTTTAGACCTTTCGTATCATGCTCTTCTGTAAATATTAATTAAAAAGCCATGACATAAATCCTACTTCATTTCTTTGTGTGTGCAATCAAATAATACTAAAATATTAATCTATTTAAATGCAGTAAATATGGAAAAATATGTCTGTTCAGTGGCTCAACATCTATCCATCTATAGCCTTTCAAAAATGCAACACAGGAACCTGCTCTGAAGAAAGCAGTAAAGAATGAAATAGAAGATGGCTGTCAGAACAGTACCTATGAAGTTGGCATATCTGTGAGGTGGCACAAAAATAAATCAGCATCATTTATTCTGCCCTGAGACTTGACCTCTGTTCTGTCTCAGTAACCAGGTCGATGAGTGGTGCTGTCCTTGCACCTTTAATCTGGGTCAAATTAAGGAAAGCAACTGGTGCGTTTCTGGCTGGCAGGAAGAACATCCAATTGCTCTTCCTGTTGTGGGTGGAGCTGGGGCTAGGAGAAGAGGAAAAATTTGACAGATGGCTAAATCCATGGAATAAATCTGTCCAGATTTGATCTGCAGGGTCTCTCCTGCTTTCCTGGGCAGCCCCTGCCTCCTCTGCAGATTCTCTCATTGGGTCTACCTTTGGCTTGCAGGCTCAGTCTAAAAACAGTTGATGAGGGCTGCTGACAGACTTTGGCAGGTGGATGCTCCACTTCTTCTGACCCAGCCAGCACTAGCACTGTAACTCGTCCACTGCTCCTGCCTCTAGAACAGCAATCAAAAGCTGCTCACTTTGTAAAAGGAAACAAACACAGAAGGATTTGCCTTTCTCAAGATTCATGTGTACAGTCTGTAAATAGCAAACTTTTTGAAGGAATCATTTAACAATTGAGAAGGCACAAATCTGTGTAGGGCTAAACAGTGTGGGACTGCAGTGTGGTGGAAAGTGGCCAATAGAAGCTGAGCAGAAGTCAGCCCCGATGGCAATATCACCTCAGTCATTGTTGAGGCAACACAAATTATGCACATAGCAAAGCTTGTGTTGGGAGAAGGTGGTAAACACTTCAATGTCAGCTCAGCTTAATATATAATTAAAGAGCCTGGGCTAGGGACTAGAGATGAGACAAAGGCAGCATCATGAGGTCATGTCTTAAAGAACAGCAGTTCTGCAATCCACAGTTAGGGGGATGTGCAGATGATCCCTAAATTCCCAAATCAAGAGAATTCTTTTCTGTGTAATGATGTCCTCTTAATGTAATAAACTGACCAGTCAATCAATAGTGATAATACTGCGAGCCTATTGGTCCTTTTTCAAGAAGGGCAACTAGTTACAGAAACAATTTGTGGGTAACATTGTAGCACCAAATTTTAATGGAAAATCTGGAATCTGAATAAATTTGATAAATTAGAAACCTAAATAAATAAATAAGCAAGCAAGCTTTCTCATCTAGTACAGTAGTTGCCCTTTCAGAAGAGCTGAAATGAGGCTTCCATCTCTTAATATTGGAGCAAATAAAACAATATTTCTTTATGTCAACAGGCTGATGGACATACTCAACTGCCTTTGGACAAAATTTTTATTATTTAGAACAATTTGGCAAGGGCGATCAGGTGCATGTGTGTTTTAAAGAAACTAATTCAATATACACTGAGAGAGTTTTAGGCCGCCTATAGCCTCTTCTAGTGTCACTTAGCTGTTCTGGAGGCAGTCTGAAGACTCTCCAGTAGTATTCTATCAGCACAATGAGGGTTGTTCATATGATTCTAAAAAAAATAAAGAAGTCTTTATTTCTGAAGAAAACATTTTAAAGAAGCATTTTATTAATTTACACAAGCAAAGTTACAAAAGTTTTTTTTCTGTGTCATCTGGAAAATTTGGCTAGGATTAGATATACACAATACAGTTACTGTACAACTACACCAAAAACACAAACTGGACATTCTGATATAAAAAAGAAGATAGTGAAAAATGAAAATATTACACTGTAATTATATATAAATTTTATATTTGTTCATGAAACATAGAAGGACTCCATTTGTGGAAATTATATACTTTCTAAATGAAACCACAGAGTCTTTATTAATAAGACAAAATACTCTGCTGCAAAGCTACTGCCAATATATCTTTTAAGCTTCTTTTTAAAAGGTTACATGTATATCTAGCTCATTTCTCTGAAAAACTAAGAAAAAATTATTGTACTCAGGAAAAAAAGTGGGGAAGGGTACCTCCAACTAATGTTCTTTTCTAGACTTTCAGACTCATAAAAGGTCCTGGCAGAATACTTAAGGAAGACTCTCCAAGGGTCAAAAAAATATGTATGATGATACTCCCAATGTTTCATCCATCTGGATAAATACGAACTATTCAAGGAATGGGGCAACAGAGGACTATATAGAATACAAGCATTGGCTATTGAAGGGAAACTTACTTCTGCTGATTATATTTTGCTGAATATATTGTTGAAATTCCATTTTAAATGAGACAAGCACAGTCCTTCAGCTCATGAGCTTCCCCAATTAAAACATGAACAATATTGGAAAAACAGTGTATATCCATATCATGAAAATCAAAGAAAATTTGCTATTACTCATAATTTTTACATTAAATGCAACAGAATCCCTTTAAAGTCTTCAAAAATGTTAGATGACTTGGGATTTGAACTCAATGAATCAGCTTTGAACTGTGCATGATGGATCTTTTAAATTGGTTTTGGAAATTTATAAAGAATTAGTCATATGTTATACTATAGTCTTTAATTATACCGAACAAACATTTTTTTAGATTAGTTGTAAAAAATAATTAAATTAGTACATATTACCATCTCTTAGCAATGGCCATTTACTCACTTTGGTTGAAAGTTTATCCAGTATCTTGGATAATTAATGCTAACACAGCTTTATTGTCCATTTTCATCAAATCAAGTAAAATAGGACAATAGAAGAAATTAACTTCTGTTTCTACCTACCTGGTTTACTATAGAAAAGTACTGGAAAACTACATTGTTCTTTTAGAACAATGATATTTAAAGGTGTAGAAAACTGTATTGGTTGAAAAATTAAGATAGCACCAAATACTATTGAACAATCCTTCAATTAAATATAATTTTATTCTCATTTGATTTCCATCTTTTAATTTATATTAGCCAATTTTTAATACATTACTTCTGCTACATAAGTCTTTTGGGCTAGATATGATAGAAAATGAATGTAAAAAAATATGTATTTTTGCTTTTGTATAATTTGTTTTACTTTTTAATTATTTTTATTTTCAATATTGTGTTGATTTTTAAATAAAATTTAATAGTAAAATAAAATAAAATGTTTCACCTCCCCCTTCCCACACATGGCTTCTAAAAATTGTGCTGTCCTGTCTTACTCCTGCCCACCCAGACAGTAGCTTCCATTTTGGGTTTATCCTCACTGTTCCTTCTTTCTCCCCTTCCCTCCCCTGATGACCTTCAAGCACAAAGTACTATTACTACAGAGATGACTGGTAGTTTATGAATGGGCAGGAAGAGAAAAGCTGAATGGTTATTTTTTTTATTGTGCTGGCATCTCACCAAAAGAGAAAATATATGTTCAAATGGGTGATGGAGACTGTAAAAGTGAGCAGGAAGTTCTCCAGGTGAGAGAACAAAAAAGGAAAAAAAATTCTCATGTAGATGTAAAAATGGAAGCCTAACTTCTCACCACAGAGGTTAAATACTTAATGAATAACAACAGCTGTGTGATAGTAAAAGCAAGAGGAAATTAGGGTGAATTTCTTAATACTGCACATCCAGGCAGGACAACTGGTTAAGGCTGCCTCATTCTTACAATGGGCCCAGGTGTGATTTACACCTCCCCAACCCTCAAATCATCATTGGGACCTATCACTGCTGCTGAGCACACTTTTACTTTACTAGCCTCCTTCTCCAACACAAATTCTGAATCTGGAATTTTTTCTTTGGGATGAGATATGCTCAGCTCTTGTGAGTCATGTTTGGAAGCCTTTTTTTGTGTGGTTACTGACCTGAGTCTCCACTTCAGCTGAAATTTCTCGATGGAGAGTTGGATCTGCAGTAGGTTGGCCCTCTTCCTTATCCAGGGCAACCTGTGCTTGAGGCGGCTTAGTCTGTTGTTCTATAGAGACAGTTGGAATCACTCTGTGTCCTGGGGTTCTGTCACTGAGATTCTCTTTATTTGGCTCCACCTGAAAGGTCCTCTCAAAGCAGCATGGTTTTGCTAAGTCAGTCCCAGATGCTCTGGGAAGCAGACAAGAGGGCAGCATGCTGGACATCACCTGGTCTGAAAAACTAATTGGTTTCTTAGCCTGATCCATAGGAGACAGCAAGGAGTGGTTGGGTTCCAGAAAATCCATGTCTGTAAAGCTGCCCACCTCTTCATAGACAGGCTCTGAGTCTGCTGGCTCCTGCTGTTCTGAATCTTGATGCATTTTCATTGGCTGTAAGGCATCAAAATAGAAAGTGTGAAATTTGTTCCTTGGATTTGAGGGGAAAAAAAGAAAAGAAAGATCATGGTAGGCTGCCTGGACTTTAGGGCTTCAACTGAGACTCTTATTATTCAGAGCTAAGGCTTAGCCAAACAACCTACTCTGAGTTCTGCGCACAGGCTTCTGAGTTGGATAGTTTGAACCCTTGGGATCAACCAAAACAAATACAAATTTTTGTTTGGCCTTGTGTTTTGGGAGGTTAACCGATCATTACTTTTTGCTAAATTGTTTTAGGTTCTAGCTAAAGGTCTCCGCACTTTCTGCTAATATCTTTATTACCTATCTTGCAATAAATTTCTGAGTCTGAAGGAAGATTCAGATCATTCTTTTTTCTTTGGTGCCTTCAAGTCAGTCTTGACTCCTGGTGACTGCCTGGACAAGACCCTGCAGTTTTCTTGTTAAGATTTCAGAAGTGGTTTGTTTGTGTAATTATTCTCCATTTAAGAATTTTCCTCTTAAGTCATATTAAAAAATATAATCTTGTGGCAATTTTTGGACATGCTCTGGGAGTTGCACCCAAAGCTTTCACAGCTCTTTGTAGCTCTGGAATGTCAAGTTGTGCACTTCTGTGTTAAGACCTGCTTTCATAGCCCCAACATTTAATGTAAGAATTTATATGGGATTTATAATATACTAAACTATGGCTAGATATGTAACAAATGCGCAAATACTTACAAAAAACATGGACAATGTCCTTCGAGTGTGTAAGCGGTGCTGAACACAAATGAAAAAAAAAAAAGCAGACAGATGAAGATGTAACAATTTATCCACAGGAAAGCAGGATAATAAACATTATTATAGACATAATCCGGAGAGTTTGGGAGCATTTAGAATAATTCTTGGAAGAAAGGGAGGCAATCTATTCTGAATGACACTAATTATTTGTGAAGAAGTCCTCCAGCTAACCAGGTGAAGGGAAGGTTATGCAACAGATACACTGAAGGTTAATATCTGTGATGCATCTATTGGTCAGAAAGGGCCTGCTTTGAATAAGTTAAATGCTTATTGCCCATCATGGGTGGTGGGGTTGCTGATGGACAGGGACTATTTATTAAAGTGGAACACAGAAACATAGTATTCCTTCCAATCACTATTAAGACATTGCAACATTTCGCAAATGAGGAAATACCTTTGCCACACATGCAACTAAACAGAAGTGCAAATCCAGACATTATTGTCCTTGAAATTTGGCTTGAATGACAACAGCTTGTATTCCAGATGTTATGTAAAATGTTTTATATTTACCATATTTTTCCTATTTATACTCTGGCTTAGCAATTTCCTATTTAGACAGACACTTCCATTTAGGTGTCCATGGGGGTGCAATATGGAGAATGGAAGGAGAAAAGAGAAAGAACGTACATCGCAGTACAAAAGGGAGAGCTTGTCTTATAATGTTACCACATGTGCTTTATCATTTTGGCATCATCATGGTTAAGAAGGGATGTCTAATGCTTACAGACTTTGTTAGGTATTAGCTTTTTCATACTGTCTTAATGTATGAACAAAAACACATATTGTACAATAAAATGATGCTCCTTGGGTCCACGTGAACTCAGCATGACCACCTGATGTATATATAACCAAAATAGCCATGTGTGCTTTGCAGTTTGCTCATTTCAAAAGTTTAGCCACCAAGTGGCACCTTACCAAGGTTTGATTAGCAGATAGCATGATTGGATTAGTGCTGTCTCCATGCAGAGAAATCAGGGGCATGGTACCAAATTTAGGCTTAGTCAAGTCAGAAGAAGAGCGTCGACGTAGGATGACTGGGCGGATGCTGTCATGCTGCATGAAAACAAGGAAATAATTAGTTCGTGTTAGTAGCACTAACAGTATGACATTCATCCATTTCCTGTTCTCATGGACGTATTTATAGCTTATAGAGATTTCCCACTTGAGTTTGGGATTTTTTTTAATATATTCCTTAAATACTTTTAAACATCATCCAAAGTCATCCATCAATATCCATCAAAAGGTTACCTATTGCTGATAACACTAAATATAAAAATATTTTGCCATTGACCAAAGTTCTTCAATTAACAATCCAGCATCTGTGAATAAAATAGGAAAGCACAAGCAACTAAGAGTCAACCAAGCAAGGATTAAGCTTTTGAGAATACTGTGTCTCAATATTTAGAATCAAATTCCACCAAGTTAGTTATCCATTCCACAGGTTTTCTGTTATATAAGGCGTGTTACAGTATATGCTTTTTTTCAAAATATTAAAGAGTGTATCAAAATGAAGGTTCTTCTTGAATGGACAACCTGTGGCCTATAGGTATCCATTTTACAGGCCCTCACAACCCTCACCAAAATTTGATAGCAGAATCCACCAATTCTCAGCAGCACAATTTCCATCCTTATGTCTCTGCATCATTTTGCCCCTTACCTCCCCCTTTCCCCAACTGACAAAAACAGGTTAAATTCAACCCCATTTATTCCAGTAATACAATGTCACTGGCAATGCTGCCTAGTGTTTTTGAAGTCCAAAGAAAATGTTCCCAGTTACACACAAAAAGCCCACTCCTCTATCAAAATATTTTTCTGCTGAAAGCTATAACTAATTTGGACTTGGCCACATATTTTTTAAAAATAATTTTAATTGAAGTTTTTCAACAGAATTAAAAACAGTACAAATTTTGAATGAAAGAAGAATAAAGGAAAGTAATAAGAAAGTGAAAAAGAAATATAGGAATAGAAATAAAAAAGAAA